TTTAGATAAATTTGTAAATTTGTCTCCTGGAAACAGCTATAAAGAGATGATTTGATAGTTCATTAGATAATGTGTTTCTGCATCAAAATATAGCCCACAATATGTCAATAAGCCTCTACAAAATTTGCCAAGTATTTGAAATTTAAAATGATGTCACTGTTGTCTTCTTCAGTCTTGAGTCCTCTCTTTAAAGTAGAACTAAATGTTACATGTCGCTGTCTTTAAATTAATGTCATGTAAGGGGTTGTTGACTTTATCATTAGCACAATTTTGTCCCCAATTATTTTTTAGAACTGCATACATCATCTGGAAGTCTTATGGAAATTAAGACCATGCTAGAAGGCCTGTTTAACAAGAGGCAATTTGTGTTTCACCTTTCCTGGAGAAAAAGCTAATGATTATCTGTTGTTAAATAAAAGGAGTGGAGGTAATGTTTTTAAAATGTGATGCGAATTTATGGCTGGGGAACAATTATGAATAAATGCCTTGAATGAGACACTCCTAGATTAAGTGATCAGCATTTCAATAAGTTGCAGTGGCCATTTGATCCTCATTTTTATTATATAGAACATAAACATCTTGTAAGTTTGTCATATTGTCATATGCATTAAGCTGTGGATATAAACACTTCTGGAAGAGATTTTCTTATGAAAAATGCATAGACGGAATTTGAAGCATTAATCTATCATGACCACAGATGGTGGTTAACATTCGCCTCTCTCCACTTGGCAGTGCTAGGAGCTATACTGGCAGCTAGAAAAGAAGGAGGAGGAGGAGAACTAGGAGGAAGAGGAAGAAGGAAGAGAAGCATTGCATAAAGCTAAGGATCCAGTATGAATACAGAAAGCCAGTACCATATAGTCAAGACATTGTCTTTTTTTATCTCTTCAATTATTTGTGTAATTATTTTAATTACATTTCTTTTTTCCTTCAACACAAATATGTCCCAATAATGACACACTCAAGAACCGATGCATGTGTTTTATGTACTAAGAAAACATCTCTAGATAGAAGAGGCTTGAAGACCATAGCATGACAATCTGGTCAACATTAAAAACTGTTGCATGAGCTTGATACCTGAGTAATTTATTCTTTATCAAGCTTAGTAAATACATGATGACTTATGTTACATCTCAGTTCATATTGGATCTTAATAGATATGAGATATCTGTCTGTGGTGTAAATATATACAATGAACACAATATCTGTGGCCAACAATAATTTAACATGATCTGAATTAATTTAAGGCTGAAGTATTGAGAAATCTATTTTTAAGAACTTACCATGAAAACATCTTAAAAGAAACTCAGGACTTAGAAACAAAGATACAAATAGTCTTGCTTGTGTTGCTTCTCAGTCTCTCTTTGCATTCCACAATCCTTTAGCATAGGCCTATAATAGTGTTTAAAATGTGTTTTTCAAATTTAATGTCAAGTATTGGAGCGAGCAATACAAAAAGTAAAACCCACAGAAACGTGGAACCTCTGGATTAAGAAGATCCTTTGTCTTAAAGAAAAAAATGGAAGCTTTAAAAATACAACATCACTGACCTAAGGTATGTTGACAACTCCCCAGGTGACCTGATGCATTGTTATGGAAGGCAGGTCCTTCTGTTATCGGGAGAGTCAGATTCTTAAATGCCCAACCCAGTTTAAACAATGTCAGTACTTACCCTGGAGAAATGGCTTCCCATGTCAACTACACTTGTAGGTCTCACATTCTTGCCTAATCTTGTCACAGACCAGATTCAAGTTGAACTGACTGATGAACAATTAGTTAATTTGCAGTGTTCAGCCCTGTGGACTTCAAACTGTCTTCTGTACATCCTAAAGGAATTCTCCCCTTCACATCCATGCCTGACTACTATCTATGTGGTGTCTTCAGAAGCTGACTCATCCTAAGCTCTGCTCACACAGCTCATCATTATCTTGTCCAAAGGCAAAATGCACTTTGAATTCAGATGCGAATGCCCTCGGACTTGAGTAAGACACCAGTTCTCTGGTGCAAAATGCAGAGCCCCGAGGGAAATATTAACAGCCAGTGTGGGTGGTTTTCCCCCTCTAGAAATACCAGTTGGAGGACAAATGAACCAAAACAAACAAAATTTTCAATATCATCATGCAAATTATTATTCTTAGTTGTTTATTTTGTTTCTAACTTAGTCACAGTCGTAGTGACTTTTTAACTTCTCTAGAATCCGCATTCTCTTTAGTTTATTAATTTTGAAACTGCTGAAGTGTTTTTACTAATGAGCTTCACTTTGAGGGAAAAACAATTGGCCTGATGATTCCATGCTGCTAACACTAAAGTGCGCAAGAACCCTTTCTGATTGAACATTCCCACTTTGTACCTTAAGACAGGTGTACTGTAGAGGTGTCAGCAATGCAGACAGACAGCTTCTTACATCTTGCATGCTATCCTGTGCCCCCAAAGATATCATTCTAAAGGTGATTAATGCTATCTCTGAGACCTGTGCTTTAAAGTATATAGTCTTTAGAAAATCAAGCATAAGATGTTTACCTTAAACCAAGAAGGAAGAAACAACCCACCAAATATTCTATTAAGTCCATCTAAATCTCCCTGCTTCCCTTAGTTGCCATAATTCTGGAGCAAAGTTTCAATCCCACGACAAAGAAAAATTAAACAATCCCCATGGCAGAAATTCAGATTGCCATCACATTTGATGGTAGTTCTTTGAATCTCAGGATGTTTCATAAGGTCCAACCCATCTGCCACAGCAGAACAATGATTCAGGAACTTGAAATTATTTCTGCATTCATTACCCAACATTCTCACAGTCTGTATTAAAAATAGTAGACACACAGGAAGTTCCCAGTTAGCATCTCCTTCAAGTTTTAAGGAACTCAAATTATTGAGTCTTCTTTCTAAGAACCAGGGAAGTCAAAAGGAACACCTAGTCAACCATTCAGAGAGAATTCTCTCCCCCAGACCAATGGATTCCCATTCATAAGATATGAAGGCCGGATTCCAATGGCCACCTCTGTAGCCTGTCTTTACCTTTCCATTCCCCTCTGCTCTGCAGTCTTCACAGTCTCACAGGCTCTGTCTTTTCTCCTGCTTCTTCCATTGCAGAGCAAGGTGCCCGTTCCTTCACTAAACAGCATTAAAAACAGACTGTAAAGAATTCCGGGGTGCAGCATGCTCTAATGGGGCGATTTCTCCAGTTCTCAAGGTAACCACACTCAACTGGGATCTGCTACAAGCAGTCACTGGGAGACTGACAATTTGGGAATCTAATAAAACACACACACACACACACACACACACACACACACACACACACACACACACTCACTTACTTGTCTGGGTCTGAATATCAACTAAAAGAAATCACTATGTAGTGAAATTAAGTCACCGAGAGACCTAAAAGCCATTCCCTGGAGCAGTGTAAGTTTCTTTAAATATGCCTCACCCAAAGAAAGCCCTGTTAAATAAGCATTCACCATGAGTAATAGTTACTTTATCATTCCAGTGACATAAACCATATCCAGAGAGGAACCAAGGCATATATAACATGATGCTCCAAAACAATGTCTTTAAAATTACATTGAAACCAAATTACGATAATATAGACAAGCATAGAAGCAGGAGGTTATCTTTTGCAATCTTTTGTAATGAAACCAAAGTGTATCCACCACCTTAAAATGCATTTAGACTTATTGTCTAGAAATAAAAAAAAAGATAAGCTGACAGTCAACGCAATTAAAAAGTAAAAGAATATGAGGACAAAGGAAATTGAGAATCAAATGTAAGCAGTTACATACCTTGACGAGCAATATAACCCTGAAAAGACAGGGTCTCACAGGCAGCAGCGCATTAAGATCACTCGGCTGTTTGAGCCACTCATAACCAGAGTGTGTGCCTTCCAAATGACTGTTTTTTTTCCTTTTTTTCATGAAAATAGCATTAGCTAAAATGCTATTCATACATCCCAACCCTGTGGTAACATCATACTGAAGAGGAGAGGAGAGGATGCACTCCTGCTGAAGTGTGTATCACAGGCTTTCTGACTTTTACAGAATTTAAAAAGGACTGCCTTCCTGTCTTGCCTCTTTCTCTGCTTACTTAAAGTGGTAAGAGCAGGTTTGATCTCCAAGGCAGATGAGGAAGGGGTGGGCACAGTTTAGATTTATTCTGCATTGGAGCAAAAATTAAAAAAAAAAACCAATACCAATTGGTTTCAACTTTGGAGACAGTCATTCTTGCATGCAGAAGCTGGGAGCATTGAGAAGTCAGACAGTGAAGTGATTGTCTCCATCTGCAGCACATTCTTAGGGAAAGCATTTCTAGCAGTCTTGCCTTGTACCTTCCATCCCACCATCCCCGAACTGTCCTCTCTTTGCTTTTCCTTTAAACTTACACTCTGGCCTTATTCTGTATCTGTAGAAGGTGATCAAGCTTTGAACTTAACACATCTGGGACATAAACAGCAAGTCATAATTTCTCTTCCCAAGAAACTTTTTAAACACTTGCCTAATCACATTCAACCTTATTGCCACCTTTATCACCTGAGACATCTATCCTTAAATTGGAGGCAGCTATGAAACTGATATTAAAATTTTAAGAATAAAACAAAACTATAATTATTCCTCCCTCCCTTTTCCAACCTCTTGGGACTCAGGACCACTGTGATCATAGAAGAAAGTGACAACTTTGTATTTTCTCCACTGAATTAGGAGCATTTCCAAACGTGGCACCACGAAACCCACATAAAATTACTGGAAACTCTGTTACAAAAAGCATCGCCCCTTCCAATTCCCTTCCCAGCTTTTAATTTCTGCCTGATTTTTGGGGAAGGGAAGTCCACCCATACCTTCGGTGAGACATAGAAACAGAAGACAGACAACACAGAGACACAAACAGTTCGAAGGGAAAGCACACATAGATGGTGGAAAGAAGGGGAGGGGGCAGAGACAGAAACCCCAACAGTGAGACACAAAAGGAGTGTGATCCCCACGTCGGAAGAGTTGGCGTTTTACCTGAAGGAACAGAGTGGAGTTACCCAGCGTCCCGGTGCCTTGACTGACTGGATTTCGTTTGGGGCTTTTGTGAATAAGTATTGTTTCTCAATGAATGCTTTGGTTGGGTCGGTTTGGTTTGTAGCTTGCGCCTGCTGTTTGGCCGATTTATTTAACTGCTAGCGAAAGGAGCCCTCGGCTTGGGGTCCTCGCGCAGCCCAGACACAGCACTGGTGGGGACTGCGTGGCTGTGGCTGGCTGACTGCCTTCGCCGCTCCGGACGCTTGGAGGTCGTCGCTGCTGGAGAGCCTGCACGCCACTCCAGGCTGCTGTCCGGTTGCCTGTCAGTCAGTCTGTCCGCACCAGGAACGGTGTGTGTGTGTGGGGGGGGGGGGGTTGTCCAGGCTTTGCTCCTCTCCTCTCTCGGGAGTAGTCACTGTCCCCTATTGCCAGTCCTTGCTCCGATCTGTCTGTCCCTCCGCATCCTGCGGTCCCACCAGCAATTCCGGGATCAGGTTCCTATCGTCGGAGCCTGCAGAGTCTCTGCTACTTTGCGCTCTGGCCACTTCTTGGGGTTGGGCGGGCGGAGGTGACTGCAGGGAGCAAGTGTGCGGGGCTGTCCTGTCCTGTCCCTCCCTCTCCTTCTCTCTCCCCACTGAGTGCGCTCCTCTCTCTCTCTCTCTCTCTCTCTCTCTCTCTCTCTCTCTCTCTCTCTCTCTCTCTCTCTCTCTCTCTCTCTCTCATGTGTCTGTCTCTTCTTCCTCTCTACCTCGCTCGCTCGATCTCTCTCAGGCTGTGTGACTGCGTCCACCTGCCTGTCGCTCTCACAGTCCCGCCGGAGTCGTTGGGCCCCCCTGACCGCCCCGCCCGGCAGTGCCCTCCCACGCGGCTGGCACTGCTCTCAGGCGGCGCCCATCTCCTCCCCACCAGCCGAGGACGTGTCCGGCCGGGCACCGAGAGCACTGCTAGTGGCCCTCAATGGCCCCAACCCCAGCCCCGTGTCCCTGACCCATCCGCGAAGGGAGGTGGCCCTGCGGGGACGCCAGGCGATGCCTGGCCGCTGAGCAGCACGCGAGGCTGAGGCTTGAGCGCAGCCGGCACCTGCTCCCTGCGCCGGGCGCTGCCATCCCTACTGCTCTAGCCACCCCTGGGCCGGAGACAAAGCGCATGAGCCACGCGCGCGGCAGCGCGAGCATCATTAATCAGAGAGGAAACTGGCGCGCTGCCCCGGCCCCTCCACCCCGCCTCTCCTGCCCAGCCATGGGGCGCGCCCCAGCGCCCAGCCCTTGCCTACCTCGCCAGGGTACCACCTCCAGTCCTAGGGATGCTTGGCCAGAGCTTCTGGTGCTCCGGTACCCCTGCTAACTCTCCCGGGCCAAGTGCAGAGAACAGCCTTGGGCAGCAACACCTCACCCCACCCACGAAATGAATCCCAGCCTTGAGCTTCCAGAGATGCCCAGGCTTGGGAGCTAAGAAAGACCACAAGTCCAGCTGCTCAGCAAGGCTGGTCTTCTGCTTTCAAGACCGCCCAGATCACTGCCGCCCGCCTGCTGAGCAGAGCTCTGTTGATGCGCTGAGAGAGAGAGAAACCCAGCACTGCAGAGCCCTGAGGGGTAGGGTTGGGGTAGGGTTGGGGTAGGGTTGGGGTAGGGAGCAGAGTTGACACCTGAAGAAATAAAAGCGCTGGTTTACCCATTTGTTTGGAGACATGTACTATTTTTATTATCTGCAATTTTTTTTTTCATTGTCTAAGGGCACACTACCAAAAGGAGGAAAAAGTACAGTGAAGAGAGTGAATACATTTCCGGAATACCGCCCACCCCTGAGCAACTATACATCCTACTTTCCCGACAGTATAGGTCACCAGCCAAGAGAGACCATTCTAGCTTTCCACCCCCAGCTGAGAGCAAGGCTTTGGATTCTGGGCTTCTTGGCTAGGTTGTTATTAATGGGTAGCGAAATTATAGTTGTGCACTTCTGCATGGAATTGCCAAAGCTCATTTTGACAAAACCCAACACCCGAGCTTCTGAAATGCAGACTGTGAGTTAACCATGGATCTGCAGCAATACGTAATACATTGAAAAAGGAAAAAGAAATCAACTCTTATCAGTGGCAATTAGTAATCCCGTAAACAGACGACAAATATGTAACTACCATAAACTATGCCACGAACCGCCCCCCACACCCCTGGCTTCTATTTAGTGATACCTACCTCCCTAATGGTCGACTTTAAAAAACAAACACATAAACAAAAAACAGGCTTATAAAAACACATGGCTTCCATGGTATTCTAGCTGAGTGATTTGCACAGATTGATGTATGGTCCTATGAGCTCCCAGGTGCTAAGATATAGATTATAGAGCTTCGGTGTGTGTGTGTGTGTGTGTGTGTGTGTGTGTGTGTGTGTGTGTGTGTGTGCGCGCGCGCGCGCGCGCTATCTGAGGTATAAAAGGCTGGGCTGGCCCTTGGAGAACAGATAATTATTCCCCCAGCTGTTAGATTTTCCTCACCCACACCCACCCGGGCTCCACTCCTCCTGTCATAGTAGAAAGTTTCATACAAGAGGAGCCCTAATGCTTTCAGGATGGTCACTTTGAGCTGTAGCTGTCATTTTTTACTCATACCTCTCAGAATATGTTGGTAAGTATTTTCCAGTTATTTGGGATATAACAGGAAAAAAATTTTTCTTATCACATCCCTGTGCTAATTAAATGATATCCTAAGGACAAAACAGTATTTTTTTTCTTGGAAAATTGTACTATATTGTGCTGTTATAGGCTCATATAATTGAAACCATATTTAAAGAAGGGTGGTCAGAATGGGTAATTTCTCCTAGACAGGAACAATCCCACTCCAGACACATACCCAACCACCGACACCTAGAATTCAATTCTGTAAACCAGAGTAGAAATTATAGCCTTTGAAAGAGGAGGAGAACTCTGTGAGGATTCTTCTTAAAATAAAATAAAACCCAGCATTTACACCAATGAAAAATATTCTCAGACTTAACAATCTACAGACAAACTAGATGATGAGACTTTTGTCTTGTGAACTTTTAAGCTCTATATCAAAATATGACACACACTTGGAATTTAAACAATTCCATTTCCTATAATTTCTTCTAATATTTTTGCCAACAAACCAGTGGCCCGAGAAAACTCAGGTTTATTTGAGGCCATGTTGCTAATTGGTATTGAGCTATCCAATTTCAAAACATTGTGTCTCAATGTGGGACTGGAATATCCTCTTGGGAATACTAGGCAGGTAGTGAGCAATGTTATTATTGTAGGGTTTCAGAAAGCACACATATTTCCTTACATGATTTGAAATGGCTAACAGTCCAGGCACTTGGCCTGATGTAGCAACAGATCTTGAGCTCTCTAAAACAGTGTCTTCTGTTTTGTACCCCTGCGGCACAGTGGCAGTATTATCCCCCTTTTGAGGTGTGTGTGTGGGACAGGATGTACTGTTACTTGTGGTCCTAGGGCCCGTGAGTGTTCACTTGCATTGCGTTTGAAATGAGAGAGCATTCCTATAACCAGGTAACCTCATCTTAGGGAGTTGAGCTCACCTACACACTAGCAAGCATCTTAGACTGTTGACAAGCTCCTTTAAGCACGCATTCCCTGGAGACACTAAATTGGTGCCCTTTAATGAAGCTCTCAAATTGGATTTTCAAAATAAGGCGAATTACTAGAATAACCCAGCTACCTTTATGAGCACCTTTTCAGCTGAAGCGAGAAGTAGGATTTCCGTACTGTTGGACTTGCAACATTTCTCAACAATTAGGCTGTGAGGAACTCCACTTAAGGGCATACACCCCCTCCATCACAAAGGCCCACATATTCTCTAGAGAGACTTTTCATCTGTCCTCTATCCAGCAAAACTGGCTAGGGTCTATTAAATATCAGTCTTGGGTTTGGGTTTCAAGCCTTAGGAAATACACACGAGGAAGACAGACAAGGAAAAAGATGGGGAAGGGAAAGAGTGGGGGGATGGCAAGAATAACATTTCAACCAGCAAAGTTGAGAGCCCCATTCTTATTTTGTACTAAGCCAGAATAACTCCAAAAACACATTTCAGAACATCAACAAAGAATGTTACATCATGTATGCATCTGAGCGTGAAGAAATGTCACGATCAAAAACAAAGAGGATTTGGGAGACTAGAAACCAAATGTTCGGATGGCACGGATCCCTTGGTGCCAGCTCTGTCTCCTCTGCAATAGGTTGTGCGCAATGCAAGAAAATCATCCCTGTGAGCACTCAGACCACAAATGGCCCCTGGCCTACACTCCCATGAAGTGACGATGCTCTGTTGCCAAAGCAGCTCAAATCGTTTCTTAAAAGTAAATGTGTTTGGGGATTTCATGGTGCCTCCTCTGAATCAGAGGAGGGGCAATGGAACGGCATAGCAGGAATCTGCTAAAGGAAGGTTTGGAAAACCTGTCTCAGTAAGATGTGAGCAACAATAGACCAGGAAGGCTGCTGAATAAGTTCCGCGTTTTTTTTTTTTTTTTTTTTTTTTCAGCATCCCTTGGCCAGATACATTGCCACTGCCACTCAAAGCATACTTGCTTTTTTTTTTTTTTTTTTTTTTTTCATTCTGGCAAACAGAGCACTATGCCTGCTCATCTGCATCCTGAGTAGGCCCAGGCTCTTCTGGGGTTCTGACAGGCAGATAGAGTTAGGACGACATTCTCTCTGCAGAACAGGGGTAGAATGCCCTTGCCACCTACTGTCATAGGGCCATTTCTTCTAGAAATATAGTCCCCCCATGAAACCTACTAAAGGCATTAGTTTTCTATTTTGCTTGTATGTGTGGTGTGTGCAAGCATGCATTTTCACAGGTGTGTGGGTACACATGAACTTGTGTGTACATGTGTGCAGAGGCCAGAGATGGATAGTGGTGTCTTCTTTCGTTGGTCTGCACTACTTTCATTTATTGAAGTGGGGTCTCTTTCTAAAATCAGAGCTCAACAATGCAGCTAGTCTAACTGGCCAGAGAACCAAGAGCATCTGGGCTTTCAAGCCTATGGGTTCTGGGGATCTGAACTCTGATCTTCAAGCTTGTACAGCAAACACTTTCATCCACTGAGCTATTCCCTCAGTCAAAGATGTTACTGATTTAAAAACAAAAATAAAAACAGAAACAAAACTTATGCTAAAAAAAGAAAGTAGGGAAACCCCAGGAACAT